ATATATTATAATTCCCTTTCTTTTTTTCTTAAAAAATGTTGTCTAGCATCTAATACGTCAAACTAATCACAATATTCAGGCAAACTAATTCATATAAATATAACACATATTTCATTGAATAACTTACTTGAAAATGTAGCCGCATTTTCTTTTAACATTCTAAGTTCGTTTCGTAGTTTCAGCATCGTTTCGTTAACGATACTTTTCTCATTTTCATATTTACTCTTTAAATTAGTTAATGCCACTTCTGCCGTATTTTTATTCGATTTCAGTACCGTTCTTAGTGTTGCTATTTGTTCGCGTTTGGCAGACAACATCGCCTTTAATTTGATAACTTGTTCTTGCAAATCTGCCACTTCAGCCTTATTTTCATTTACGGATGCTAGAAAAATAAATAATAAATTAAATTTATTATTAATATATAAGATATTAACAGGTGCTAGTTTTTATATTTCTAGATATTTAAACTTACCTTCGCAAACATTACAAATGTTCGATTGGATTCCCTTTACCTTAGATAATTCTATTGTATGTTCTACCGCACTTCTCAAATGTTTTATTTGATCCATCGCAGTTTCTATATGTTTGGCGATTTCTTTTGCTTTGCTAAGACTCTCTAGATCTTTAATCTTAATATCCGTTTTGAACAAAGTTCTACACCATTCAATTTTACCATTTCCTTCTTCCTCTTCTTTTTCAGGAACAATTTTTTCGTGATCGAGGACGACGCGTGAAGGCATTTCACCATTAACGGCACAAACGTGATGGTAAAGCTGCACCAATTCATCCGAAATATTTTGCAAATCATTTTGAGCTGAATCAAGAAAACCGCCAGCTTCTATAGCAAGTTTGGAGAGAATACCAACATCGGATTCAAGCTGCATGCTTCTTTGTTCGGTATCTAAAAGCTGAAAGGAAAAAATGATATTTATATAAGTAAATTATGATTTAAAATCTATAATAATTCTTAATAATTATTATGCATTGCAAATTTGCTGAATATGTAAAGAAAGGATGAATTCAAGTCAATTTGGAAAGTCAGTTCTAGGATCACATTTGTAACAATCATGTAATCAGCAGCCTAGAACATAATATTTTCCGATAAAATGCACGTTAAAATATATAGAGAGTTCGTATTTGAGCAATCGTGCAAAACAGGCTTTATGAGTCTGACTCATGCCGCGTTAGCCGTATAGAAAATACATAAGAAGAAAGATGTAATTCTTTCGATATTTCATTTTTAAGCACATTCTTTTCAAAGCCACGGTGCATAGCCATTAAGATCCGTACGGTTTGTATTTTTTTCTTTTTTTTTTCTTTCTTTGAACGCTATATCTGTATAATATACACAAATGGTGATACATGGAATCACGTGTGAAAATAATATTTCCACTATAAATACAAATTTTAAAAATGAATCCATAGATCATAAAAGTGTATAAAATTGTAGCCAGTAATTTTGGTATCATATACAGTTAAGATTCATTAAATCTGAAGAAGCAATACACGATAGGCTGTTAGAACACTGAAAAGCAAAATGTATGGATAATTAGAGGAGCCAAAGACAAGTTGTTATTAAATAATTGGTAAATACGTCAAGACGAGCACACTTTCCAACCTTTTCTCGAAGCATCTTCTCTGATTCTGGGATCTGAAATGCCATATAATTTTCTATTCAAGGTTTTAATTATTTTTTTCAATGATAGCATCATTGGAGCGATACTTAATATTCTTGCCTTTTACAAAAATATAGCTTTTCGTTTAAGAAGAAAATACATTAAACCATTATATATCAGCAAATTGCCTTCAACCATATAAATAAAATTTCTTCCATTGAAAATACCAACACCTTTTATTAGAAAACGATATAAGATAATCTACGAGAATGTATACCTTATTTCTCAGATTTGTTAACTCTGTTCTTAATTGTTGCGTCGCATCGGATACCGTCAAACCATTCTCTAATTCGGTTAAATCTTTTTGCAGTTGATCTACTTCGCGGGCGGACATCGTACTCCATTGATGATATTGCATAATGGCCTGAAATATTCATAATATTTTACAACATTGTTATTAAATATTATATATTATACAAAAATTTATACCTGATTTAATTTTTCCATTGTAACTTCTTCATTTTCTTTACTAGGTAATTTGGAATGAAGATGTTGCAATGATTGCACATGTGCCGTCAATTGCATAATACGTGCAATAAACGTCATTAATTCTGCTTGGCTCTTTTCAACGGCATATTGAGATTCCCGTAAATTCTGGGTTAGATAAACTTTTTCAGATTCTGCAAGCTCCAATTGTTTTTCTAATTTTTTCAATTCATTCAAATGAATTTCAGAAAACAAATCGACTTGTTTATCGGTCGCCGAAGTTCCCGGTTCTTGGGTTTTCAAATCTGCTTCGATTCTACGTAACGCAGGAGGATCATCTTCGCCGTCACTACATATAGTTTGATCTTCGGTAATTCCTCTAATAGAAAGAGCAAGATTACTGAGATTATAAATGGATTCGCTATTGATTCGTTGATCTAATTCCTTCTTAAGTGTATATTTAGCTTCACGTTCGGCTTGTAAGGATTCTAATGCCTCTTCCATTTGTTTCTCCGCAATCTTTCTTAAAGTAATTAATTCTTCTACTTGACTATGAAAAAGTTCGACTTCCTCAGTTAATCTCCTAATCTCATGTTTGGCACCTTCAAATTCAACTTGACTGGAACGCAGGCCAGACACTTGTTTTTGTAACGAGATATTTTCATCTTCTAATTCTGTACAATCTTGAAGTAATCTAGCTTCGCGAAATCTGCATTCGCGCAATTCCGTTCTTAATGTTTTTCTTTCCGTTTCCGCTTGTAAGTGATCTTTACCTATTTCTTCTCTTTCTTGAAGCGCGTGATCACGCTCAGCTTGTACTCGTTCTAATTCATGACGTAACTGTTGACAAAATTACATTTCCAAAATATTGAATGCTGAATCATTAATATTTTAATGTCATAGACCGAGTACATAAAAAGTCCTGTTTTAATTAAATAAGGTAAACAAAACAATAACGAATCATTGCTATAAAAAGAATTTTCATTTCAAATACCTGCTTAGTTTCATTTTCAAGTTCTAATATTTGTAATTGTAAAGATGTTTCCCTTGCTGCGCTTTCACTTAAAAGACTCTCCTCTTGTTCAATACCACTTTTTGTAGTCAATATAGTAGTTGTTTGAACTTTAGTTAAGGCCTACAAAAATACAATTTATACATAAAGGTAGATTTTGAAATGTATATTTATCTTTTTACATGAAGTAGAAAAAAATGAGAATAATTGTATAAATATAAACTATGATTAAATGTTAATTGTATATAGAAAAGATAACATTTGAAGCATAATCGTAGGATCGATTAACGTAGAAACTTTTTAATATTATTATAAAATAAGTTCAAAATAAATTTTGATATATTGTCAAAGTGTATTAACCTCTTGTGCGATTTCTAACTCATGTTTCGTGTTTTCATAGAGGGCCTCGAGATCATTGCACTTTTGTTGTAGAGCCGATTTTTCTTCAAGCAATGCAAGACCATATTGGGCAGATTGTATCTTTTCAGTTGATGCTAAATCTAATTCTCTTGAGAGTCTTTCAATCTCAGTTTTGAGATCCTCTACTGTAATTCCTTCAACTGTAGCCATTGCGTTCTATACTTCAAGGAGGATCTATCTCTCAACTTTTAACTTGTATGTATGAGTATGCGTTGTTACCGTTTAGAAATCGAAATACCGGCTGTTACGATTAAAAATGACACATTCGCAAACATTATTTGCGAATTTATTGTTTAAATATCTTGATTACATGTAAACACACCGTTCATTCATATACTCGAGGTTAAAAACAGTTTTGACATAGCCAAGATTAAAGCGTTGGGAAACGGAGTAGACCGAATAAACCGGATGCATGTTCTATACACGTTCCACGTTTCTCTCCTTCCGTCAAGTTCCGACGTTCCGCTGCTATGTTTCACAAAAAATATTTACGTAATCAGAAAGAGAATAAGAGAGAGATAACAGATACCCCCATATTTTACTCTACCGCAATTGCCGCAAACGCCGCCTACGTACGTTTTATAAAATACATAATTATTGAAACTCTCACGTTTAAATATCGGTCGATAAGGTAGAATTCTTAATAAATCTCATCATTAATAACGTATACTAATGCTGTCCAACTAGCGCGGCCTACGAAGTAAATTAATTTTTTTAAATACAAATTTAAATTAACATTTATGCTAAATTACATTAATAATTACAATGAAAAAAAACTAGTATTATATAAAAAAATGATAACAGTGGCCATTATAATGTTATGGTATTCTTAAATTTGCGTATGCACTAATTTTTGACGTGACATTAATTGACTTTTTGACTTTTTAATACAGTGAATGTTTTCTAAACTAAGTTTTAAGACGAAAATATAAAAAAAATAATTTTATTTTTCAAGACGATTGAAATGAGCGAACTATATTTATACCTATTTCTACACGTATGTATATTTACTTTTTTGTAAACACTCGAGACAGTTTCAGCTTGGCCTTGCTATTGTCAACAAGTCAGATTTTAAATGTGTCTCGTAGGAACATTATACCTTTTAATATTTTCACGATATTTTAGATAAATTATTTATAATTATTAATTATTCATTGTCGTTCGTTCTCCAAATTGAGTTTCTTTCTCTCACCACTTTCTATTAGTTTGTTATCAAATCAAAAGTGGATTTTTCATAAACACACACACACAGCCGATTTAATTTCTATATTTTATTTAAAATTTAAATTAATGTGTGTTTCTTTCATTGATTCTCACCGTCGTTAACGATGAGAGATAGTCGAAAATCTGTGTTAAACGGCTGATCAGTTTTCAATAAGTTTATTAATATATCAACAAATCTTTATTAACAAATTATTGTATTTTTAATTATTTATTAACAGGCTTCTTCAAATCACAAAAAGATCTTTTTTAAAAAAATATTTTATTAATTATCAATGTTCTGATTAATATTTAAACAGTTTTCAATAACCTAATGGTTGTTTTATCATCATTTAAAAACTCTGTATTATTTTTTTATTCTTTCGTTTTGAACGCACTCACACATACACACGCTCGCGCACATGAACGCGTACAATTAATAGAAATTATACTTCTCAAATATTATTTATCAATGGATCCATATCTACGTCTAATACATCTGAAGGTGCAATCATTTCTTCAAAACTATCATCATCTACAGCAGAATTATTATTTTTTGGCGTATCCAATGGCTGTACTTGTGATTGTGTATTATCAGGATCTTTAAATCTATAAAAATATATAGAAAATATGGTATATATTTAAACATAAATTAATAAAAATTTAATTTAGTACTTAATAAGTATATATATAATTTTTACGTTTGTATTTTCTTTGTAGTATGATCAGGCAAGTCGAACAATTTTTTGATTTTTTCGATAGGATCTACCAATCTTTCTTTTATTTCTTGGCAAGGTTCTAACAATTTTGTTAATTCAATATCGATAGGTGGCAATGGCTTTTCTGGATTTAATGCACGATATGATAGCATATTAAATTTATGTTGTCTCATGGGGCTTGGAACGCATCCAGGCATAAATGGTTTTTCTTTCTTTTTCGTGGAAGAATCGCTATTAATTAATTAAAACTATTTCAGTAAAAATAATCTAATTAAGTAAATTTAAAAACAAATTTTTAAATTTTTAAACAATAATTATTAACAAAATGTATTCCACAAATGTGATCTACCTTGTATCATTCAGTATAAGAGCATCCAATAAATTATCCACAACATCATTTTGTTCTTTCGATAACTTTTTGACAAAAGATGTTAAAGGTTTGGATTCTATAACTCTTGTATTTTCTGCATATGGTAGGATGATTTCTACAAAACACTAGAATAAAGTTAAGTATAATAAATTAATATATAAAGAATAAAATATTATAAAGCAGAATAAACAAAATAATATTTCTACCCAGGGCTCATCTGGAGTATTCATGCGTGGAAACAGTGCCACTACATTTGGATTTAAGTTCATCCGATATACTTTTCTAAAAATAGCAACAAAATCCTTCTTATTCATAGCTTCCATTAAACTATAAAATTTTTGTGCTATGCTCTAGAATGAAGAAAATATTTACATAATTAAACGAACTTTTTCTTGCAATATTATTCATTGGAACAAAAATTGATAACTCTTTTATTTTTTAATTTGGTTGTATTATCTCCCTTCATGTAATAATACCTTATTAGCAGGTATGATTATACGATTACTGGTACTGGTGCTCCAATATTGCATATCGACGCGTTTTTTTTTTGTAAAACATATAAATTTAAAGCTTTTAGGCCCGCTTTTATACATCATAGTCTCTTCATCTTCCTCTGTTAAATAAAATAAATATTTTCATTATAAAATACGATTAGACAAATTTCTAATGCATATAATAAATAGATAATATTATTTACTTGAAAATGGTATAAAAAGACCACCATAATTATAACCACGTATTGTATTTTCCGCATTATGAATATCCCTATGTCTACCATAGTATTCTCTAACACGTTCTACTTGTACAGGCTCATCTTCCTCTATCGTTTTACTTTCCGATGTTTTATTAGTTACCAATTTCCACAGTGGAAATCTTGCTTCCTTTGTTACCTAAGATTAAATTATTAACGTATCGAAAAAAGTTATTATGGAATTTTAATAAATGTCTCTGTGTATTCATTCAGTAAACATGAAATTGTTAATAATAAATTTTCTAATTCGTAATTATTATTATCGTATAAATTACCTTGACGAATGATTTAATTGGTATTTTTATATCAAGTAATTCTAAGTCGCATGACCATCCGATAAGCCTAGATTGTGCCTTTTTAATAAATCTTGTATCATCGAATGCTTCATTAATTGTTCTGTATATCCCATCAGTCTGCATAATAAAAATGCATAAATAAGTGTTATAATTCTATTTTACATCTACGTATATTTATAATAAAATATAATACTTCTTTGCAAATGTCAATAATAAGATTTTCACTGGATGTAATGGCATCTTCAGTTATATTATGCAATAATTTTGAACCACTAAAATAGTATAAGAAATAATATGTAGTGTTAACGTAAGAAAAATGTATGATGATAAATAAATGCAAATACTGTACATAGCTATTAGTTTAATTTTTTGATTTTTTAATTCTGATATTATATCTTTTTTGTCAAATGGAACGTCATCAGGAACTTCCTTAAAATCAGAAAATAAAACTATCAATTTGTTACATTTATTTCTGCAAAAGAAAAGAAAAATAAGTAATATTATAAATATATATAAAAGTATTTTAAAATACGTAGACATAATTTCAAAGGGTGATTTTGATACATTAAAATACAAAAAAAATAGTTCATACAATCAAACATTTGATATGATCTTGTTTCTAAATGATAGCATACTGAAACTACCCCTGAAAGAGTGCACTTATTTTGATAAGCTCTTATATACACGTTCTCTTTTATGCATGCAAGTAATTATACTTACACAGATTCACGCTTTATTAAATCAATAGCAGTATAAAGAGCTTCTATCCAATTTGATACACAATCTGTAAGTTGTAAATCGGAAACAATCTGAATCAAGTCCCAATTTGGCATTTGTATAGCGCATTCTGCGACATTATGAATTTCTTCTATATTTTTGAAATTATTTTTATTTAATGTAGTAGTCGAACCATATAATAACAAACCAATTTCATCTTTCGGCCGATAAAATATCTGTAAATAGAATTATTCTTATTTCAATTACAAATTATAATGACAATATTAAAATAACATTAAATGATAACATTTGCATACCTTTTTTTCCACCAAATGTTGTACAATCTTTTTTGTTTTATCCAAAAAAACAGGATTTGATTGAGAATCTTTTGACGTTACACCCACATTGATTACAAATACCAGTAATTCCTAATACAATAATTTTTGTTTCTATTATACATTGTTTATAATATTTTTTAAATAATAATATAATATAACGTAGTATAAATTTAATTAAATAAATATACTATTAAAATATTTTGTTAAAAAGATCTAACCTTTTCATTAGCCATTTTGACCTTATAACCTTGTTAGCCTTTCGTTTTTTTATTTTTTTGTTACTTTGTATTATATTTTCACTCTGTAGACACAATAACGGAATGATGATACCTACTGCAAATTATCGATAATGTAGATATCGTTATAATGTCACGTGACATTAGTTGCAAATCAGCACGTTGCAACATCACGTTGCAACATCACGTTGTGTTGTTTATGGGCCTACGATAGATTCATTTAATTAAAAATAATGTAAAGTTTTAAACTTGAAACATGTTATAATAGTTTAACTACATTCGTTAAATTGAAAATTCATGATCCTTGTATTTACTTGATTATCATAATAGAAACGAGATTTTTCATTTGTACATACTTCGATAGTTATTAAATAAAACATTTGTATTTGATTCAAAAATCAAAAACGAGAGTTTTTAAAAGTTTATACCAAACAATCTTTGAATTAATTTTATGTTTAATATTATTAATCATATAATATGGATATAATAACAAAGAACAATGAATTTTTTCCCGAACATTTTGTACTTTGTAATTTTTATGGCAAAGATGAATGTTTTTGTTGGAATGATGACAAATTTGTCATGTTTTCGTACAAACTAGAAAAATCTACATCTTCGTTACCAGTTTTGATTGCACCAGGACAGATAAAAGTTATACAATGTTTCTCCAATAGAGTTTTCTTTACGTGTTCACCACAAGGCGTGTACAAACTTTCAAGAGAAGGAAGATTCAGCGTATTAAGTAAAAGTGCTATAAGTATCGGTTCCATGTTTTATGAGATACTCAAGTCTATGAATGATTGCTTGTATTTGGAAAATAAACAGAACAAGTCGAGCAAATTGTTACTTCGTCTACCACCAACTTCGAAAGAGCTAGAAGAATTATGTACCCTTCCTTTGGACGCAAACAATTCAGAAGATGATTTTAGAAGCATATTATTAGATGAAAATAGCACCGTAGATAATTTATGTTTGATTGGTAATGGTAAAAAGTTGTTTTCGTTAACCAAAGAAGTTATCCGTATAATTTACAACTGTGATAATAAAATAACAAATATTGTACCTGTACAAAATGATGATAAGATTCATGGATTGGTACTTATTACAAATACGGATGCCGTTGTCCTCGTGTATCCGAGAAATAATATGTTACGCTATAAAAAACTTTATCTAGGAGTAGATGTGAAAAGCCTTTGCGCAGGAATTCATTGCCAGCATAAGGACAAAATATGGATTATTTATTCTAACGGATCCAAATTGTATTATATGACAATGACACTTTCTACAGAGATATATAGAAAAGTCAAAGTGGAAGATAAAAATTTTGTCTGCATGCAATATTATACAAAAGATAAAGTCTTAGGTCTTACTAATAAAAAAGAACTGCATGAATTATCCACAAATGTAATAGAAGATTTTCTAAATGAAGAAACTTCCAAAGATGATTTTATAGATCTTCACAAAGACATGTTAAAAGGTACGAATTTATTCGTTGAACGAATTTATGAAAAATCGAAAGAATTAGAATCATGCAATAAAATATATTCTATTGAAAGAAATAAAATTCACAGGATAAATCTTTATGCTTGTAAGATGAAAGTACAAATGATTCCTAAAATGACAGTGCGTAGAATAGCAAAACAATTGTTCCTTAATATTGATTTTCCACAAAATGTACCAAACAATGTTTATATCATATGTTTTTTAGTATCCAATTATGAAACAATTTTCTCTATCAAAGAAATAACGAATAACGAAACATCGATTGATTTACCTTTAGAAACAACAAAACTATTTAATTCTTTACACATCGGAATGGATTTAATAACAATGATAAACAAAGAGCAACCATGGTTTCTCATAAAGGATTTTGTAAAAGATCCGGAAAAGAAAAAGAAGCTAAAAGAAAAGCAAATGAAGAAAGATAAGACGAATTTTATAAATTCTAAAATAAATCTTATAAGGAATTTGATAATGTCAAAAAACCTAACTATGAAGAAGTTATCAGAAATCAAAGAGAAGATACGAAAAGAAATGTCTGACTTTTAATTCGCAAATATAAGTAATATTGTCATAACGTAAAATGTGTTGTATCATTGTTACAACAATTTCTTAAAAAAGTTTATAAAATTGTGTATATAATTAACAACACAGTTATCACTTATTCATAAGAACAAAAATTAACTTATTAAATATTATAATTGATTTTAAATACAAAAACATTGCTTAAATTTTTTCAGAACATGGCATTTCTATAATACTTCCCATACTGCAGCTGGAACTTTTTGGTTGTTTCAATGAATTTCTAAAACTATTGTGTATTTTTGGACCACCGAATCGATCTTGAAGGGTATCCAATGATTTGACACTTTTCTTTGAACCATTAGCACTACGATCTTCTTGTTCGTCATTTTTATTAGAACAACGTCGTAGAATTTTGTTAACACAGACTCTAAAGTTCTCTGAGAAAACACCATAAAGAATAGGATTGACCACAGTATTCAATTGAGCAGTAATAAGTGCCCATACGAAATGATGGGATCTCATGAAAAAGTCAGCTTGTTCGGGTGGCCTCTGTGCATCAATGAAAAGCAACAAAGCGATGATCGTTATCGGCAACCACATAACTAAAACGGCGACTACGTTTAACAGTAAAATTCGCATAACACGTATATGCTTGTGAAGACGTATTTCCTCGTGTTGCGACAGACTGCCAGTTCTACCGGTACGTTCTACAACCGACGTTGTTGATGATTTTCTTCCAATCCAAGGTATTAATGATCCTACCACCGATAATTCCGAGTCTCTTCTGTTTCCTTTAATGGCAGTTAAATCCTTAAAGATATTAAATTTATTAAAAAATTAATCACAAAGTGACTTAACAATCATTTAAAATTCATGCCAACCTGAGCAACACAGGGTACAGCCCATCTATCTCGGGTATTAAGGATTTTTTTCAATATTTGTTGATAGTGATAGACCAACAGGCTCATTGGTAAGAGACAAGTAAAGGTGAGTGTTACTATGGTAAAAATAAGTGATATCTTCACCACTGATTTCTGTGGAAATACAAGAGTACATATTGTAACACCACCCGAGACTGCCTGTAACAGTTAAATGTAAATACAATAATTTTTTATATGAATATAATAATTGAACAATAACGCGATTACATGAATCCGATCAGACAGAATATCTACCCGTGGTTTAAACCAAATTGCAACAGGAAGAAAGACCAAAAAAGCGACGATCCACGTTGTTAAACAAATGAAAAGCACTCTTCGATTAGTCAGAATACTTCTATACGGTGCAACTGCCAAACACTTGTGTCTATCTATTGATATAACCGTAAGCGTCCATAAAAGTACAAAGCCACATACGTACTGAAATACGAAAAAATAAAGTTAAGTTTATATATTAGATTTAATTAAATAGTCAATATTATCAATATTAGTTTAGCGTTGTTAAATATCGCCCAATGAAGTTAGCTTTCTAAACAGGAAACATTGCTTTCGCTATACACACATTAGCGGCCGTGAAAGAGTATTTATAGTCACCCTTCTCGAACAGGTGCGACCTTGATCCGTAAGGGTAAGAGGTGTATCGTGTCGTAACAATATACCCCTTGTCTACAGACTAAAAATATACTTTCACGTATAGTTCCTGCTACTTTCAACTTATTTACATGTAATATTTTATGTTATTATTATCATTAAATATTACTGTAACATTTAATATGTTGTATTCAGATCGTTAAAAAGATAGGACATTTGTATATATTTATATAAAAATTTGTTTGTGTAATAAAACCGATATTTTTATATTTGTAGATAATTAAATTATTAAACAAGAGAGAGTAGTTTTTTAAACAAAAAATAAGACGTTTATACCGAGCTATTATTCTTAATGATCCTAAAAAAAAACAAATAAAATAACGTTCTACGTTTAATAAGAGCATTGACTCCGCCGCTTCTTATCGCGCCACGATGGAGAGAGAGATTTGCGAGCGATGATAACAAGAGATAGGGACAAAAAAAAGAAGGTGAATTACCTCGGAATATGGTAATAATGCGCAAACCACGTCACCAAGTTTCCAAGATTGCGTTAATCTGGTGTAAGCAACTACTGGGATACCAAGAGCAAACAATAGATCCGCTGCAGCCAAGTTCACCAAGCACAAGTTCGTGGGCGTTCTAATCTCTTTATATCTGAGCACACAAACGGCCATCCCGGCATTGACGATGATTGCTGAGATGAACGTAATGAGAAGAATTGTCACCTGAAAAAAGGAAAGAAAAAATTATAATTTTTCTTATCGTTTCTTTTATTTTTTTTTACATGTAAACAATATTATCTAAGAATTAGGGTCTTAAGTCATAATATGAAGTCGTTCGTGTTCTAATAATTGTGTTTTGCGATGGACTGGACTGTTCTTTCTTTATTCTCTTTTCGACATTATCTTTCTTAGCGTTATCGTTCTTCTCCACTTTAACATATATTTCGAGAACGTTTGATCTGCATCCGTAATACTCGATCTAACAATAAGCTTGTTCGATAATGGGAAAAACTATCTTTGACCATTTGCCTTATATCTGAACCGGACTGATGTAAATGCCGTACAATTAGGAACGTTCCCGCATCGTTTATACCCATGCACATATACACATAAACACTACGGACGCATACTATCTTATAAGCTCTTACAATAAAGAGAATAAAGAGCGATCGGTCCTCAAAGCTTACATGCAGTTCTTTTATTTACGTAGGTCGAATAAATGTTAGCAAACATTTTTGCTAATATATATATTGTTCAATGCTAGAGTTCAATCCTATATCGTACCTCTACAGCAGCCGCTTCATCCCTTTCTCCGAATTGACTGTAATAAGAAAAATGATATCTGCTGCCGTATTCGTTCTTTCCCCATCGGTAGGATGAATTTATGTTTGTCATTGTTTGTTTTACTTCTTTTTTTTCTTCTCACTCGTCAAATCTTCACTTTTATTACATCTGCCATTTTTTTTACCGAACGATACACCCTCATAGTACCCGGACAAATTTTTCCATCTATTCTGGAGTAAATCGAAGAATATATAGGGAGAAATAATATATATAACAAGTTAAATATATATTTATTTGTCATTAATTAACAATCTATCAAGTTTAATCGATTCGCGTTTGTTCTTCGAAGCTTATCAAATATTCAAGCTTTCAAGCAAGAATAGATGAAGAAGGGTTCTCGATGAAAGGGTTTTTCCTTTTTTTTTCTTCTTCTTTTATTTTTTATATATTTTTTATTGGCCTTCGAGCTATTTTTAAAAGTAATTACTCTTAAATCCATGAGATGAAAGAACAACCTTCGAATTAAATATCTACGATAGAGTGAGAGAGAGAGAGGGGGAGAGAAAGAGAAACAAGATGTCTACCATCAGGGTCACGGTTTATCTGAAGAAGGTATACCACACGTCCTTCCAATTTACTACGCTTTCGTTCTAACTAAGCTAATTAAGTTATTATTAGATACTAACACGTGAAAAGATCTATGTTTGTCTTTACTTTTCTCAGACTTTACGATGTACTCTCTTTTTTTCTCTCCCTCTCTCCCTCTCTCTCTCTCTCTCTCTCTTTTCCTCCCTTTCTTTTCAAACTGTACTTACGTGAGCTTATATTTTGTTAACATTTATTTTATCTATCGGCATAGTATCTCTGCAAACAAAATTTCAATTTTAATTTTCATTTTATATATATAAATATGCAAATAGATATTTGTATAAAAAAAAGACGAATTTCTTGTTATATTAAATTAAAAAGAATATACCTAAAATTATATACTTTATACAGAGTAATATAAAAGTCGCTTTTTCCAAAATTTCTCTCTATTTGTTCACAAAAATTATTCAAATTGGTGCACATAATATATACTCAATACACAATTAATATTATTTAATTATCGATTTACATATGGTGAAATACAATCGAAAGTTGATGATCGAAGTTCTAGAATAACTGTTCCATCAACTTTTGTAATCGATCTAAATTTTTTGCACGATAATAAAAAGAAAAGCATCCAATAACAATACCGTTGCCATAATAATCGTATAAAAAGCTATACTAAATTATCAGGTGTTAACACCATCATTGTATAAACAAATTATTTGCACGAACGAATCTCTGTGGGGAAATATATATCCAGTTATATGTTCCTTCAATAATTTAACATAACAAGACATTCGTATTTCGACATAAAAGCCTAATTTCCCTCTTTTTGAGTAATGACAAAAATTTGGCAAAAGCAAGAAAAAGATGACCGTTCAGTAATAAATCTGCAAAGGAAGGTAGGAGCACGATCTCGTAAAAGCTTTTTTTAATACCCGATAGAAACAATTTTCCAAGGAATCGAAGCGTCATTCTTCTTCGACAAATTGTCGTTTTCTTCTTCATGTTTACCTTGTATTTTACGCACACCTACGCGCCTACACATTTACACCTATCCCTGTTTATCTTACCGCAAACGACTAACTAGACATTTAAATCGGTAAACGTTGCTCCGAAGATTTATTACTGGTCAGAAAATTCGTATGTTTCGCTCATCGTTGATTTTCGGTTTTCTTTAACCACACACATCATCAAATTTAAGATCTTCTTCACCTATCATTCGCATGGTCTTTGTTAAATATACTAATATTTTACGTTCTTCATACTTCCATTTAAGAAATATTATAATTAATAAACCTAATTAATTAGCCTTTCAAATTAAAATAAGCTAACAGACAAACAAAGAAAAGAAAAGAAATAAGCTCGGGCAAAATTGGGGTTACGCGAGAAAAGATTTTCATGTTATTTAGTCCTTAATCTCTATACAATTATGATCGCTATTTTATTGAAGTATGAAGGATGGAAACACGATAAGATGGTTGACTCTAAGGCTTAGAATTAATAAAACGCCTCCGCTTTTAATTAAATTTAATAAAGACATTTCCTTTGGTTGAATTTTAAAGTATATATATATATATATATATATAAATTGTTATCATTTAATAGTCTCAAGTGTGAGAAAATTTAATTGAAATAATAATTACACTAGTCACCAAATTTCAACTTTTTTTCTGTAAATGGATGAAATATAGCAATTTTTCCTAATTTTGGCGCTTTGATTATAAAATGTAAAAGAAATCTAAAAATGAAACTTTGACCCGTAAAAATAACTCAATATTATTAATTAAAACGACTAGACACGCAAGTCGTAATGTATTTGAGTGGAAAAAACAATTGAACGTTTCGGTAAACGTCGAGGAAAATAAAATGACCCTATCGAGTAATAATTAAACGTCAATTAGATAGAAGTAGGAACAATTATACTTAATACAAATTGACAATATAAATTTACCTACACCTATGATATTTGTTCATATCATTATCGTGTGATAAGTGATTACGATTTTCTCTATCTCTGCATATATTTTCTCACATTAATACTGCAAATATATACTTTAGTTTATTAGCATAATGTTTATACAGATCTTATCTAAACGTTTAATATCAGCTACGTACATAATTATGGTTAATTAATTCTACGAAATTTTAGGAAAACAAAGAAAGAGAGAGAGAGAGAGAAATAATTTTTCTAAAAGAAAACAATTTTTCTTCTTGTTATCATTTACTTTTTCAATTCATTTTTACCACGAGTCTTTATGGATCATTCAATGAACGTACATTGATCATAAGTCTTCCCTTATCTTTTAACGTGAATAGACTGAAAAAGCATCGACTTATATAATTGATAAAAGTTTAAGATGTGTATAAATGTGTTTGTTAGACACACATAGACATATCTAGGCTCCTCCTTTATATATTTGTGCAGCACGCGAAGTAATTAATCACTTAGTAAACGTGTCACGTGTTCCACCCGCCATTTTCCTTTTTTCTACCAAAGCGGGCTTTGAAAAATTGACCCTTATACGAGGGCAAGAGATATCTACTTTTGGATACCAGAAAGGGTCTCTTTCTAATTTTTCTTTTTATTAATAGTTTTACTTCAACTATTTCTCTACTCCTTAAGATGAAGTTATGTTAATATAACAAAATTTAACGCTTTTTGTTAAATGAATCAAATTTTTAGAAAAACATTACAAACGAACTTTGAAGTATCGTTAATTTTATAAATTAGTCGGTCAATGACCAACCTTTCCTGTTTCAAAATAACAAATTAAGAAATTAATTACACTATACAGTTTAAAAAAAGAAATATTTTGTTATAATTTCGTTGCTACATTTTGTATAAGAACATTTTTTTCTGAGGACATTAAATAAATGTAATATTAATTTTTTAATACTAGAATATAAAAAAATAGTGTTCTTAGTTTGATAGGAAGATTAGTTAACGTAATTAAGTTTCATAAAAATACCAATGGATTGTTCATTCGTGGCGTATTTTGATCTGCGAGTTAATAAATGACTATTGCAATTCAACATGTTCTGACGTTGCTTTCACGATTTATGTACGTGCGTACACGTTTCGTCTTCGTTCCTCCTTTAACAAACAAAAATAGATATCGCGTTGAACTTGAGAAATTTTGTCTTTCAACTATAATCGTTATTCTTTTCGGAATTCTACATTTATCATTTAAATTTATATGAATGAGTATAATAAATTGTACCTTACGATCTTTAAGACTCGGTAATGTGTCTAGTTTAACAAATTTATGTTAAGATAATTATCATTTACGAAAGACCATTTATCTTTCAAATAAAATATATTCCTTTGACACCATCATCATTATCATCTAAATATTAATATTTTTTTCAAATTCGATAACACGACACTTTCAGATATAACGAACATTTGAAATTCCGCGCCAACTTTTAAAAATTCAAATGCCGATCATACTTTGTTGAACGAACGATTACTAAACCTTACATTTTATCTGATTTTAATGAGTTCATTAATATCGGTAATATGAAAACATAAATAACACGATAACCGAAAGATTGAATGAACGTTAGGAGTGTCGCGAACGAACACTTTTCACTGACTGACCAACTTCGAGTTACCATCATTCGTAGGTAGAGCTTATACTTCGAATAAAAGCTCTCTCTCTCTCTCTCTCTCTCTCTCTCTCTCTCTCTCTCTCTCTCTCTATAAAATATCCCGCGCAAGTCATCGTTGTACCTTGAAGTAAGCAATGTCAAATGTCATTGACTCCTTTTAAATAATAATAATAATAACAATAATCTATATAATCAAGAGATTATCATTTTTTAAATAAAAAGAAATTTCACTTTAAAAATACCGCGTAAATTAGAATACAACAGAGTTTAACAGTTCACGCGAATTTTTAATGATTGCTGTTTACTTATATACATTGTTGAACAATAATCAATTAGATGATAGAATAGAAATTGCTATTTTTTATTTTTATATTACAGACCGAATAATAAATTGTTTCTTTTTTTTGCTCATTATTTTTTTTCGCTTTAAGTTTAAACTTTAAAAGCTATATTTTTATTGAATTGGAACAATACGAGATTTGTCAAAAAACATGCATAATAAGTACTATCTATCATTGCATTTCGAATACTGTATTATTGTAATGATTATCGTATCAACTATGGAAGATCACAAATCTATTTTTACTTATACTGATTTGTACAGATCGCATTGTTTGTCATTATAGTCTTTATATATATATATACATACATACATACATACATACATACATACATATATAAAAGAGAGAAAAAGAGAGAAAGAGAAAAAGAGAAAGAAAGAGAGAGAGAGAGAGAAAAAGAGAGAGAGAGAGAGAGAGAGAGAGAGAGTAAAACCCGGCTCTTCTTATTTTTATGTAAATAATATGTAATAATACTTTCGTGACATGATTACGCTTAACTCAAGCTCATTACATGGTAATAAAGTGCTACGTACAATGTATTAAAAATAACGGACACATACATATATATATATATATTACATATACATATATACTATATATATAAATATATATAAATATGTATATACAATGAACATACAATAGATAGTACAGAAAACTGAGTAAAAGATCATGATATAATCTCGTAAAAATATATAAAATCTTAATAGGTTTAACATCTCATCGTAAACACACTTTTTATATGACTATATATGATTTATTTAAAGTATGTTTTAGCAAGCGCACAATTGGAAAAATAATGCGATTGCTAAAACATTTGACAATTGTGGGTTTATAATATAGATTTCTGGTCATGTTAGATGTGCACTGAAACTCTTTGAAGCTCTAAGAAAATTTATATATACAGTCCTATTCATATATCAACAGCAATATAATATATATTTACTGCTAAAATAGCACCTTATGCATATTCCATCCCCCTTCCACCCTTTCAGACATACCGAGTTATCCTATTTATAAATTCCAACAAGAAAAATACATTTTTATCATCATTATATATTATTATATGCAAGAATTTTAATCATTTGAATCCCAAGCAGCGCAATTATGTTCTTCAAATTTCTTGTTGAAAAATGCCACTTTATTAAAGTGCAATGTGAAATTGATACCTTGTTTCCCCGCTTGACATTTATTGAAATAATTTTTCTAAAGATGCAACTGTGGGACTTAAACAGTTAATGTAATACTACGTATATATTTATCGTGCTTCAAAGAGTTATACGCATGACATTATTTTTTTCAATATGCACACATTTCTTGACTTTCGTATTTTTACAATATTAAACATAACGTATACAATTATAGAAAATATTTTGTAATTTTAAAAACAGAATCAATTTAAAAATAACTATCGCGTGACAAGTCAAAATGATATTTCAATTTAAAGATCATAACGAAGTAATTGTTACCGTCGTTGTTTTTATAGTATTTCATTTTTAATGAATAAAATTATTATTATTATATCAATAAGATGCATTTAAAAATCCATTTATAAAAACATTCACAAATTGATATTAATTTATCGTACTGATAATAAATTAAGAATTTGATTGATTTTTGATATATATATATATATATAGTTCTGAAAATATATTTCAGAATTTGAATAAAATATAAGTAAACTTAAAAAAATATTTCTCTCCCTATTTCGCACAATAAGTACAACTGTATTTATTAAAAACGAAGAAAAAACAAATAATAATAAGTATAAATACTAAAATAATATGATTTAAATATAATGTTGCAAACATTCGTTCGATATTTCATAAATTGACAACATGAATAATTATTTGAATCGCCCTTTCTTCTTTTCGCTTACATGGGACTATATAAATAAGTACTTTAGTTTGTATTCAGTATGACAATTGTGATCAAAAATAGATAATACCCACAACCCGATATTAATTATTCTTATTTAATTTGAAACGAAGAAATGAATATCATTAAAAATTTGTAACAATAAAAACTATACTATATTAAATATATGGCAGTTACTACATGATAATATTATTTCAAAGAAGTTAAAACAAATAGCAAAAACAAAATAGATTTGGGAAATCGAATATAGAATTTTCTCGTCTCTAGATTATTACTTTTTCTATATTAGACAAAATTAAGATATTAAATTTATGTTTTTATTTTAATAATTGAGAGAGATATGTTCAAAAATTGCCCTCGTTATTTAATTCGGAGTTAATTTAATCTGAATCCTAGATATTTTCTCTCTATATTGAAATATACATTATAGAAGTGAAGAAATATATTTTTATAAGTTAGATATTATTTCTATTATCATTGTACGTTTGTGTGTGTGTGTGTGTGTGTGTATAAAGATTTACTTAAATAGGATTATATTCATACTATTTCATTTTTGCAATTAATTTGTAATATGTTAAAATATCTCAAGCGTACAATAATTTCATTGATCGATGAAGTCTCTTGCAATGAACTCGCTACCATACTTTTTTTTATATTTCGTAAAGATTTTAAATACGTTTTTTCCTTTTCCTTTTCTTTCTTTTGTTCGTATACACGTAAAATACAACACAATGTTCATAATTCTTTTCTAAATGTTTAATTACATTCGATATATATATTGTGCGAAAGTACAAGTAAATGTTTGAGGATTAAAAAAAAAAATAAGAAAAAAAAAATAAAATATAAAATAAATCAAAAGATATATTATTTATCGAATCATTACTAAAATATTCCTTTAGAACAACTTTTGGTCTAGTAAAGCTGATTAAACAACGGTTTTTATATTTAACACCAGATATTTTTAAGGCACGGAATAAAAATACGATTACGTTAATTATTTATCAAATATATCCTTTTTATCGTTAATTATTTCTTCTTAGGGCACCTATCACTCAACGTACAAAATATTTAATAAGGATATATAATTTTATTAAAATAAAAGATAATTTTAAAAGACCGTTGCACCAAGAAATGTACTCAATAATTTCATCAATCACATATATACCTACAAATTTATTACTTTGTACTGTTCTTTCTTCTCCCCCCTTAATATTTCGCCTGTTTGGTCGTACAACGGTTTTTGTTTTCTTTTTTTTTTGATAACAATGTTAAATAAACTTATCCACACATAAATTTTCAATAATAATAATAATAATAATAATATTTCAATTAACATTATTTCATTGTTTTTTTTTTCACTAGATCAGCAAAAAAACTGTACCCACGATTCTATTGCTTTTTTGTTATTGATAATCATTGTCAACACTTACAAAAGGAGACAAAAAAAAATCCACACATATCTGTTAAAAAAAAATACATTTTCTTACTATATTTGCATTAAGTGAAGGGAAGTGCTTGCAGAAAAACTTCTTTTATTAGAGAACATTAAAAGGAGTTTTTCTTTTTGTATTGAATTATTCTTTTCATAAAACCCATAAATGATATATATATATAAGTGTGTATATATTATATATATTTTTCTGTGTATACTAGATAAATAATATAAATAAATAGATTACACAAAATCTTTTATAAAATAAAAACAATCTTAAATTGAACCCCTAGAGCTCGTAGATAAACTTAATTAGATTCTATGAAAAAAGGAAAAAAAAAGAAAATACAAAAAATATAAACGACTATGTTCTTCGCTCAAAAGTATTCAATATTGTATCTAAATGCTAATATAAAGTATATAAATGAGGTATTCGTAACACAGAATTCAATCGCGCTATTTATATTCAAAACTTCTCTTTACTATTCTTTCTAATTAAAATATAAAGCAACCTACGAGCACTTATTTGCTGAACGGGTCAATGAGTTTTTTGTCGCTTCTATTTATATACATATTCAGCCTTTACCAAACACTTTTTTATAAGTACTTAACTGCTTGATGAAAGAGAATACACGATTAAACGTGTGAGACTAATTCGGAATATTTGTCTACTATGCGATAAATGCTATTAAACAGGTTATTATATGTGATGCACGTATGATTGTTCATGACACGAGCTATTCGATGAATAATGTTCAATGAATAAGTGTATATATATATATATATATATATATATATATATTATACACATATATATGTGTGTATATGTGAACATTTTTGGCAACTTCCCCTGAGCAAAATAGATATATCTTATTTCTTATCATTTCTGTTCTTTGTTGTTGTTGTTGTTTTCGAGGAATTGGGTACAGCTTCTAAGCCAATCGTGATTATATAAAATGCATGTAAGAATCTCACAATTGGATTAGTATCGTTTACATTAGATATTTAAATAATTTGTTAAGTACCTAATGCCAAAACATTTCTATATGTCATAGGCGTATGTTCTGCCCTTCGTTACTTGGTATCTTTAGTACTATTCCAACTGCCGACATTATCGTATATAGTCGGCCATTCTGTAAGCGTTAAGAACGATCTTGTTTAACTAATAAAGTTGTTCTTTCCTCGTCGTCCAATGATCTCTTCCCGGACAAAAGTCGGATTGCTTCTGACTGACTTATATGCACGTCAGAATCTAAACTCAGTTTACCTATTCCTGCTGTTGCGACTGCATTTTGTGCCTGAAAAAAAATAAATTAATACGTCAAAGTTTCCTATATGAGAGAACGAAAGACGAGAAAACTAAGAATAAAAAATGATGCTAACTAAAATTTGAACATACTTTCATAGGTGAATTTTTTAATTTTCCATTATGATCACTGTGTGATGAAACGAATTTAGAATTTGTGACTGGACTTGCGCTAACCGGTAGAGGAGATGTCGGAGCAGTTGAACTACGAATTGGTGATTGATTTTTAACATCTTTTTCCTTGCTCGTTTCGTTTTCTTTGTCCTTTGGTAAAACTGGTGATTCTGGTACGCTACGATCATCCTCATCCAAGGAATGTAACAACTGAAATGAAAA